TGCTGGGAGGGGAAGCAGGGTAAGCTTAGCTAATGAGTCACTACTGGAAGGGGGTAGAGTGGCTGAGAGAAGGACTTGGAGGACCTCAGAGTCTCTGCTTTGAGGATGAATTGCTCCACAGTGCCGGTACCTACGGAGATCAGTGACTTTCGAGGACCATAGAGAGGACAGTCACATTGTGCCATTGAGACACAAGACAGACCCGGCCAGGAGGAGGATGAAGAGACCCTGTCACCGGACCGTTCAATTCAACAATAATCTTCCGATAAGATTATATGAGCATATTATATTCCTATAAAAGCCTCCCTTGCGTAGAAAACGAAATGCCCGGAGACCTTTGCTGGGTGCCACCATCTTGGATGTGATGTCAGCTGACTGAGAGATGATGATCTATGGTACTTCCTTTTCCTTGCAACTACATAAAGGAAGGGCAGGGGAGCTGGGCCAGCACAGATAGTAACTAGACACTCCAAAAAGAGGAAGGAAAGTGGGGGCTGGGCTGTTGAATTGACTTTCCCGGATTGATCACATCCTGCTAGTGAATAAAAAATAATTTATGGAAAGATAAAAAGGCTGCGCATAAGCAATACCAGACAAGTTCACTTCCCCGACTGCAGTCACATGACTGAAACTCGCTCAGCTGTCCGCTAGCAACAAATGCTCAGTCTCTGTCACTAGAGCGCGATTCACACTCTATGACTCACCAGCGGTGGCGGCCATCTTTCCGGAGACCTCTCCCCACTGACACCTTGCACTGCGGACAGGAAACCTCCGCTCTAGTGCACGCAGTGCAGACGACTCACTTCGCAACCATCTCGGCGGCGGTGACGTAGCGGCGCTCCCGGGACACTCGTGACAGTGACGTCACGGACAGGCCAAACAGGAAGAGAGAAGGACAGAGAGAGAAACCGATCCAGGGAGAGGTGAGAGCTGGCTGGGGGGCACCATGGGGCAGGTGAGAGCTGGCTGGGGGGCACCATGGGGCAGGTGAGAACTGGCTGGGGGTAACTAGGGGGAGGTGGGACCTTGATGGGGGTGTCCGTGTAGGAAGGTCTGGGTACTAGGCAACAACTCATACGACTTCAGCTCCGGTGGTACTACACGTCCCAGCATTCCCTGCCAAGTCGTTGGTGTAGTCCGAGAAATAAAGACAGGCTATGGTAGGACTACAAGTCCCAGCATCCCCTGGATGTATTACCGTACAGGACAGAAGCCTGTTGACCAGTACCTGCCAAAGCCCAGGGAAGCTCTGGAGGTGTGATGGGACAACAAGACCCAGCATCTCCTGGATGTAGCTCTATAGATAGTAGCAGCCTATGGAGTAGAGGGGGTACAACAATTCCCAGCAGGCCCTAGGCTGTAGCTGAAGTGGGACTTCAATTCCCAGCATCCTCTACTAGGTCCTGGGTGAGTTATGTTGCTCTGGGAGTACTACAAGTCCCAACATCCACTACCAGGCCTCAGGCAAGCTTTGTAGCTGAAGTGGGACTGCAATTCTCAGCATCCTCTACCAGGCCAGCTGTGGCAGTACCACAGGCCTCATCATTCTCTACCAGGAGATCTGGCAGAGAACCCCCCCCCGCCCCTCAGACAATGGCAGTCAGGTCATACGGGGTAAAGTCCTCGTCTCTTGGCAGGCCGAAGCCTCTCTGCCATGTAGCAGCCACATCGGTCTGCTGGGCAGGACTCTCGTCACATGTAGGAGCTCAAAACCTGCTGAATCATCTACAATAACACAGAGATCTATTATAAACCGTCCAATGACACACGAGATAACGCTCCGAGTCCGCTGAGGGCGGGGCTTAGATACCGGAGCCGCGACAGAATGCTGTCATCAATCATTTATATAGCACCACAATGGCCCGTAGCGCAGTACAACATGAGAAATGCAACCCGGGCTGAGTAAGAGACTAGAAATGGTGCTGAGTAAACTATGAATAGTAACGATGGAATAACAATGTATACACGGCACGAACGGGGGTGAGGGAGACGAGACAGCTGATTGGCTGCCAGTGCTTGCCGCCATGACACTTACCCGACTCCTCTGTGTATGGCCACTTTAAGGCACAGACGTCTGACGCTCGGTGGGTGTCCTTCTTAAGCCGGCCATACGCTATACTATGTGATTGTGCAACCTTTGTTCAGTGGTACAGCATGCTGGGAGTTGTAGTCCTAGAGGTTGACTACCAGGATAAGGCTACCAGGATACTGCAGCCAGGATAAGGGATAGTAGGGGATGCTGGGACATGTAGTCCTTACCCATCTTCTGGCTTCCTTATTGGCCAGAACGCCGGCTCCATGCTTCTTCGTCACCTAGTGACCAGGCAGCATGGAGACGGCTAATCGGGAAGCTGGGTGGCGGAGTCATTACACATCAACCGGCTTCCTGAATGGGACTTCCGGTATCGGTATTCGGTATCGGCGAGTACCGGGAAAAAAATATCGGTCCTCGATACCGAAAAACCTGTATCGGTGCATCCCTACTTCAGAGATTAATTTGACTCAGTCATTCAGTGCCATGGAATCTCCAGAATGTGGAGAGTCCATGGTCATGCCCAACCTACGGCAGAATCGGGTTCCTCTTTATTGCTTTACTCTCAGTGCAAAATATATGAAAAGTCCAGCGGTGTGAGTGAGACTGCCAGGACTGCAGGAGGTGGGAGGAGCTGGGACCCCGGGGAGATCCTATACCCAGGTCCTGAGACAGATGGGACTGTGTTGGAGTGACGTGCGGTACCTCTTGTTCCGGGTGAGGCATTCCCCAGCCTTGCCCCCAGCGCGTCCCACCGGCCGAAGCCCTGCCCCCAAGCTAGTGTAAAGGAGGAGACAGGGAGGACCCTCCCTGTCCCTCACTTGCTCTTCACTGCCGAGGCGCTCCGTCCATGACAGGTTACACAGCGGGGGAGGATTTCCATGCTGTGTAACCTGTTAGAAGCCGATCTGAATGGAGAAAAAGCTGTCAGCTTCAGACCTGAAGCCGACAGCTTTTTCCTCCCATGATTCTAGGTGAGGCTCCGCCTCCCCTGACCGCACGTCCCTGCTGTGTTGGGGTATTTATCTCACTTGCATTCTATCTAGACTTCTATATCAGTTTTGGGTTGTTGTACATTTTATGTCGAATCTTCATTTCGGGTTATAAAATGTGCCGCTGCTGCGCGTGTCACTGTCCCGGTATTGTGGAATGCCGTGGCGGGTCCTCCTCGAAGTCTTTTGTAGTTCCCCCGACGTCTTGTAATATGTTTATAATGGTTTTTTTTCATGGCTCAGACACGAAAGAGCAGCCATGGATTTCTTGTTCGGACGCCGGAAGACCCCGGAGGAGATGCTGCGGCAGAATCAGCGGGCCCTGACCCGCGCCATCAGGGAGCTCGACCGCGAGCGACAGAAACTCGAGCAGCAGGAGAAGAAAGTGATTGCGGATATTAAGAAAATGGCCAAACAGGGACAGATGGTGAGTGGTGACGTATTTAAAGGGGAACCCCAGGGATGTAAGAATTTAAAACAGAAGATGTAAGAATTTAACCCTTGCAGTGGCCTTACCCACCATCCCCCTGTGCTGTAAGGGTTAACTGCTCATTTTTCTTTAGGGGCTTCAGCGGTCTAAACCGCGCTGACGTCCATTCACAGTCCATTCACCTGTATTAGACGCGAGGACGCCAAAGGAAATTCCATAGCTGCAGTAGAGGGGTCACCATAGGAGGCCCTCAGACTTTCATGCTTACACCCTTCCAGTGGGCGGATGTGTGAAGCCCTGAACTTACAGGATGTCCTCAGTCTTCCATGCTCCTACTGATCCATGGCGCAGATGTATGACACCCTGCACTCATAGGATGTCCTTAGTCCTCCATGCTTATGCCTCTCCAGGGGGTGGATCTATGACACCCTGCACTCATAGGATGTCCTTAGTCCTCCATGCTTATGCCTCTCCAGGGGGTGGATCTATGACACCCTGCACTCATTGAAATGTCCTCAGTATTCATGGCTTATGCCTCTCCAGGGGGCGGATCTATGACACCCTGCACTCACAGGATGTCCTCAGTATTCATGGCTTCTGCCTCTCCAGGGGGTGGATCTATGACACCCTGCACTCATTGAAATGTCCTCAGTATTCATGCTCTCCAGGGGGCGGATCTATGACACCCTGCACTCACAGGATGTCTTCAGTATTCATGGCTTATGCCTCTCCAGGGGGTGGATCTATGACACCCTGCACTCACAGGATGTCCTCAGTATTCATTGCTTGTGCCTCTCCAGGGGGTGGATCTATGACACCCTGCACTCACAGGATGTCCTCAGTCTTCCATGTGGAATGACGGAGGGGAATTGTAGCAGTGAGCAATGCTGGAACAGAGGAGAGTATTAAAGCGGAAGGAGCAGTTGGGATGAAGGCTGCACCTCCAGAATAGTCTTATCCTTTTTATGTTTTTTAGGACGCTGTAAAGATCATGGCCAAGGACCTGGTCCGTACCCGGCGCTACGTCAAGAAGTTCATAATGATGAGAGCCAACATCCAGGCCGTGTCCCTGAAGATCCAGACATTGAAGTCTAATAACACCATGGCCCAGGCGATGAAAGGGGTGACTAAGGCCATGGCCACCATGAACAGACAGGTGAGGACGTCTATGTGCTGTGCTACCACGGGGGGGCCTGTTGTCAGGCTGTGCTCTCTGCCTGTGCTGTACTCTTATCAGTTACATTGTTCCCCACTCTGTGGACTTCAGAACCCCCCCCCCCCCCCCCCCCCCCCCCACAATAAAAAGAAGGGGGGGGGGGGGTGTTGT